GTAACAACACTGGTCATTAAGTAACAACACTGGTCATTAAGTAACAACACTGGTCATTAAGTAACAACACTGGTCATAAAGTAACTGAGAACATAACCAACCGTATAAACAAATTGTTCCTTCGGTTTCCCCGAGTGAATTTTTAGCCACACAGGTGTAGGTACCATAGTCTTCAGGCTCGAGGTCACGGATGGTTAGACGGAGTTGCCCCTTGTAGTTCTCTTGACTAATGTCAACTGACACGTATTTCTGGTTCGATATTATGATAACACCGGATTCTCGCATCCAGTATGTAACCGAGGTAGGATGAGCTTCAAGATTACAGTCCAAGGCGACATCCGTGCCTAATGGAGCTCCTATCAGCTGATTGGGGATCCAGATCATCGGAGAGACTAGTATATCAAATAGAAACAATCACATATATTTCATTGTCTTGAAAACGAATAGGAAAAATCACTACTTTTGATAAATCTTTAATTTCTTTGTTATGATTCTACAGAAAAAATAACTTGCATACCAATGGAAACAGGCTTCTATTATAAGGAAGTAAAAAATCCATTAATTAAAACAATGGAAACAGGCTTCTGTTATAAGGAAGTAAGAAATCCATTAATTGAAACAATGGAGGCATTGGATCATTTTAGTATCTAGAGTAGAGGACACATTATTGGGTTATAAACAAGTAAACATTAATATGCAGAATACGGGACACATTCTTGGGTTATAAACAGGTAAACATTGGTATCTAGAGTAGAGGACACATTCTTGGGTTATAAACAGGTAAACGTTAATATATAGAATACAGGACACATTCTTTAGTTATAAACAGGTAAACATTGGTATCTAGAGTAGAGGACACATTCTTGGGTTATAAACAGGTAAACATTGGTATCTAGAGTAGAGGACACATTCTTTGGTTATAAACAGGTAAGCATTAATATATAGAATACAGGACACATTCTTTGGTTATAAACAGGTAAACATTGGTATCTAGAGTAGAGGACACATTCTTGGGTTATAAACAGGTAAACATTAATATATAGAATACAGGACACATTCTTGGGTTATAAACAAGTAAACATTGGTATCTAGAGTAGAGGACACATTCTTGGGTTATAAACAGGTAAACATTGGTATCTAGAGTAGAGGACACATTCTTTGGTTATAAACAGGTAAGCATTAATATATAGAATACAGGACACATTCTTGGGTTATAAACAGGTAAACATTGGTATCTAGAGTAGAGGACACATTCTTGGGTTATAAACAGGAAAACAT